CCCTACCCTCCCCCCTCCCCTCTCCCTCCCCTCTCTTCTCCCCCTCCGGTCTCTGCACCTTCTCACCCAGGTTTTCTCAGGCCCCTCTGTCCAGTCTTCCACTTTCCTGGCCGTCGTGTCTAACGCTCGGGCGTTGCATCATTGGTGGCGGACACAGCCTTGGTACATTTCAGGGGCTCAGTAATTACTTAACTCCACTCAACTGACTCCATCAAACCTTTAAATGCATTGCAGTTCCGTGGGAGGGGCGGAGGGCGGGGTGTGTTTGGAGGAAGGCGGTGCAACATTGCACCAAAATCTTGCCATTTAGGAACTCAACCTGTAATTGGAGAAAGCCATAAAGAGCTCTACTTCAAAGAGCTCTACTTTCAAAGCCATAAAATGCTCTACTTCATAAGCATTCTAACAGAGGCGTGAGGAAAGTACTTTGGAGGTGAGAAATTAATTAGGCGTGGCCCGGGAGACTTTGGAGGTAGCGTAGGTGGGCTAGGGAGTAAGCAGTCTTCCGGTGAAATCACAGCCTTTCTAACATCTCCAGTGCTGAAGAATCCCCTACCCCAGAAAGATGGGCAGAGCCTGTCCCAATCATATGTCTTGATTCCATCAACAACCAGTGGTATCAAGTTTTAAAAGCAGTCAGTAGACAAGCAGACTGAGACTCAAGAAGAGAGGGTAGTGAGAAGAGGGATTGGGGATAAAAAAGAATTTGAATTTTTTCATTCATAGCATGAATGCTGGTTATATACTTGGTCCTGAGTGCTGGTGATTCTGTAATGAACTAGACAATGTTGGTCCTCGCTTCTTGTATTGCTTACAGTTTCACAGTCTATTCTAATCAGGGCCCCAATACTGCAGCAGGAACCATGCTAGAAAATTTCACCTACACTATTATATGTATTCATCACAGCAAGAAGGTGTTGGTACAAAAAACTACCGAGTATCTACTGTGGAACCCTAAGAAAGCCAGCATCTGTTGGCAGCATCCAGTATTGTAAGTGCAGCTCTAAAGAAATAATTAAACACTGGAATGCTGCTACCAAAATGAAAGTATATATAGGTACAAGCTTCTGGTATTACCATCCTAGACTGTTTGCCTTGCAGTACTGAGTTCCCAACGAGTTGACAATCTCTATTTGTGTTTTTATTTATATTCCTTACACACTTCCTTCCTTTAGATTGCATTGTTGGAAAATCCCACGTGACCTTCAAAGCTGCTTGGGTTGGAAATCATTACAGTCAACATGCATACCTAAGTGGCTCTTCAGGAAGTAAAATGTGTCTGTTTCTCAAGTACACCTTTATGGAAGCAGAGTATCTTAGATAACTTCTATCACTTATTCGAGATTTAGCACTGAAAGGAGATTATTCATCTGAAAATGTCCTTTTTAGGGGGAAAAAAGATGAAAATCCCATGAATGCCAGATGTCTTAAACCACTGGCATTATTCAGAGATGCTTCATAAAGGAACACATTGTTGTCCCTTGATGCAGTCACTGGGTATTGCCTCAACACTTGATGGCAGAAATATGCAACTTTCTAAACAACCAACGCAGTGCAGATGGAGTGTGGGCAGTTTACATCTGTATAGACCATGCATGACCTTGTAGTAGGGAGGAAGCACAGAAGGGAGGTGAAGTACCATGGGCTTTGGATTCCTCTTCCTGGATCCCAAGCCCAACTTCACATTTACTTGTGTGGCCCTGAACAGGTCATTCATCCCTAAACCTCAGTTTTTTCATATGCACAGCAGCTACTTTGCAGCAGTTTTGAAGGTTATCTGGGCCCATGCACAGGAAACACCTACTATTTGAACAATAACTATTACCATGTGATATGCAAACAAGTTTACTTATTTAGGATAATATCTACAAAATGGTCTTCTAAAAATAAATGCTGACATATCCTCGAGGACTAACTCATATTCTTTAGTGAAGAATATGAGTTTGTATAATATTGTATTGTAAGTATGTATTATAAGTCCATTGAGTGCATAGCAATACAGTCTCAAAGAATATGTACCAAAAATTAAGTATCATAAGACCTAATCTATTGCCTCCAGTTTTTCTTCCCCAACACACACTAGAAATACTGTTTCTCAGCTTTGGGTGTGGGGGTAAGGGAGCAGGATAGGAGGAAGCAGAATGAGATGGAAGTATGTAAGGAATGTAGGCAATAACACTCCCTCCACCCCAAGCAATTCTAATACATTTCAGTGTTTTTTTCCTTTATCAATCACTGACTTATTCCTTAGAGTTTGCTACTTAGTTGATGTAAGATTTACATACACTAGAAGTTCAGTAGCTATTCAAGGCAATATATAGTTTATTCATTCAAATTTTTATTGATTCTCTGATATATGCCAAGCATTGTTCTAGGCGCTAAGTATATATCAGTGAATAAAACAAAGGTCCTGCCCTCATGGGGCTTATACTGTAGTTGGGGGAGACAGATAATAAGGACACGAAAAGCCAATAGGGCATCTGGTAAGATGTACTTGAGAGAAAAATAAGCAGAGTAAGGTGGCTGGAGATGTGGGACATAGTTTTAGATAAGGTAATCGGAGAAGACCTCACTCACTCTTAGGTGACATTTGAACAAAGACTCGAAGTAAACAAGTAAGTCATGAGAATATCTAGGAATGGAAGATTAGCAGCGGATTCTAGGTGAGGAAAATTTAGGTGTTGAGAATTCTAGGTAGAGACAACACAATGCAAATGCCTAGAGGCAGAAGTATACACAGTGATTTCCAGCACAACAAAGAGGCTGGTGTGGCCAGAGCTGAGAAAATGACAGAGAAAGTACTAGATGATGAGGTGAGAAGAAAGTGGGTCACCAGTTCGTGGAAGACTGCCGGGGACCAGCCCCAGCACAGAGATTGTAAAGGTCCCCACTGGTAAGGGATCCCCCAAAAGGGAGGAAGGGCAGCGTCGGCGATGGAGCGGCAGCAAACATACAGACCCAAAGGATCTGTTGAATGCTGGGACAACAAACACACAGACTCAAGGGATCTGCTGAATGCTGACAATTTATTGAAGCAAGCATCAGACTTTTATACTTTTCTTTCTTATTTGCTACATAATCATAAAATAATCAATGAACAATATCATAATATCTCTTTGTAAGTGACATATGTTCTAAGAAAAATAGCATTACAGTTTATTCCCAGAAAAGACAATTACAATGTCCTTTCCTTTGAGCAAGAACGTTACAACCCACTGGTCCCATATAATCATCACTTTTCATCACTTGCAATCATTACCAAAACTACATCCATGGTACAATAGACTTTCTATGACGTTATTAAAACTTAATTCACACCTACATCTAACTATTCTTTATTCCTAAATAAACACTCTAAAAATTAACTTGCTTAACTAAACTTCTACTTCTATTGTAAAACAAAAGATTGTACATTAACTCCTTCCAAGCAGCCAGGCCAAACCCTCAGGCACCAGACAAGACGAATGCCTACATAGGTTCGTTGTCCCCTTCTGGGCCCCACTGCCATAAGCCATCTCCTGAAAATCCATAATCATAAGTATCATTAGTATGATTAAATATTTTAGTATAATTTTGAATACTACTTCCAAGTACCTTGGAGGCCAGTGTAAGGACTTTAGCTTTTATTCTAAATGAAATGGGCATCTGTTGGAGGGCTTTGAGCAAAGGAAGGACCTACTTCTGATTTGTTTTTTTAGCACATCACCCTGGTTGCTCTCTCTTGAATAGACTATATGGGCAGGGAGGAGGTAGGGAGAGCAGTTAGGAGACTATTAAAATAATTCTTTTGAGAGATAATTTTGGTTTGGTCCAGGGTGGTAGCTGTGGGGGTAGCGAGATTTTGTTGAATTGTGGATATAATTTGAAGGTAGGACTAACAGGGTTTGTGACAAAATTGGACATGGGGTATATAAGAAACAGAGAAGTCAAGGATGACTCCACAATTTTTGGCCTGGCTGGCTGTAAGGATGGAATTCCTATTTACTGAGCTGGAAAAAACTGCAAAAATAGGTTGTGGGAAAGTGTAAAAATCAAACGTTTAGTGTAAGACATGTTGAGTTTGAGATACCGATTAGAGATCCTAACAGAGACACAAACTGGAGGCCAGGAGAGAGGTCAAATCTGAAGGTAAAAATTTTGCATCATCAGCATATACCATGGTACATAAAACTGTAAAACTGGATGAGATCACCTGGTGAGAACGTATAGATGATACACCAACATTTAGAGTTTGGGAGACCAAGAAGGACAAGCCAGTGAGGTAGGAAGAGAATTAAGAGACAGTGGTGTCCTGAAAGCAAAAGGAGAAAATATTTCAAGAAGGAAAGAATGTGGTCAACAAAGTCAATGGTATGTCAGATGATGACTAAGATTTGACTACCAGACTTAGTAAATTCCATGTCACTGGTGACCTTGACAAGAGCATTTTCAGTGTAGTGGGGTGGGCGGAACCCTAACAGGATGGTTCTGGAGAGATGGGAGCTAGTGTTGCAATTCACTCAAAATGGGGTAGTATTGGGGGGTAACAGGAGGACAGATTTTTTTAAAAGACAGGAGATATTATAGTATGTTTATTTACTGATGGAGGTGATCTAGTAGAGGGGGACAGAGGAGAGAAATGCTTGAATGTTGGCCTTGAGTAAGGAGAAGAGGATGCAGTCTAGTGCACAAGATGAAAGACTGGCCTTAGGTATGGAGAATTCATCCATAACACAACAGGATGGCAGAGTGTATGGTGACTGAACAATGGCAGATGTGGCCATGGAATGTTGTAGAAGTTCCCCTCAGATTGCTCCTGTTCTGTCACCAAAATAGGAAGCAAAGTGTAAGCCAGTTATGTTGTACCAACAAGCAACCTCCTTGTCTCCTGTATCTTAGCAGTTCAACACATCCAAGGTTTATCTCTCTCATGCTAAATATTTATTGAAGGTCAGCCAGGGGATGCTGCTCTAACCTCGTCCTGGGAGCTAGGTATCTCTCTGTGCTTCTCTATTGCCAAGACTGGAAAAAAGAAAAGTGGAATCCCGGCTCTTAAAGCCTGTCCCTGGAAGTGATATACGACCTTTCTTCTACATATCATTGGCAAAATAAGTAACACTACCATACCTAACTGTGGAGTGCAATCTCACCAGGCTCCTGGGAGGAGAGCAGGCCAGAATACTTGTGAGTGGAGGAGGAGGCATTTGGAAGGTTAAGGAGAAAGAAGAAGGC